TGACTCTCACCCCCAGCTCCTCACTGTACTGGTTGGTGTCTCCATCCTGTCTCTGATGCCTTAAACTTCCTGGACTTAAACCACATACTGAAGGTTCTGACATTATCAAGCCAGAGATCATGCTGTTCTCAACATTTTGGAAGCCTTTCTTTCTTATCTAGGCAGACATCGGACTTCTTTGAGCAAGCCAATCAGAGGGACATGTTGTCGGCTGCTGGTGCTTCTAAACATGGAGGTGAGGGGTCCCCTGTTCAGATTGCTTGGATAATGAGATTATTCAGGCTCTGGTGGCTCACACCAAGTGAGGCCTTCTATGGTTATCTTATTCCCTCCCCAGGGGAGGAGGTATAGCTAGGATTAGGGTGCCCCAACACAGGCATAACAGCTGAGCGGGGACCCCAGCAAGCACCAGCAAGCGGAGAGAAAGCAGCTTGCCTTTGTGGCCCATTTGTGGAGACCCTGTCCTCTTTACTGGGGACAGGAAAGAACAGTGTCGTTTCCCAGCTGCCACATGCAGACCACAGATCACTGTCTCAGTTCCCTTCCTCCTGCAACTCTTGGCCACCTGCTGATTTCAATCAGTGCACCCTTCACTCACTATCTTGGGTATTTTTCAGTCACTGAGTTTTTTGTTGCTGTTTCTGTTTGTTTTCTTTTTCCTGCTCTACTTAACATCACCACTACCTTGGAAAAGCTGTTGGCATTCCATTTTTTACATACTTATTTTCATCTTATGTGCAAGGTAGAGAGGCACTGAAAGGGAGAGGGAGAGAATTTCTATCTTCTGGTTCATTCCTCAGGTGCCTGCAGCAGCCAGGCATGGCTGGGCCAGGCTGAAGCCAGAGGCTCGAAACAGCAGCTGAGTCTCCCATGGGTTGCAGGGATCCAAGCACTTTAGCCATCACTCACAGCCTCCCAGGATGCACACTGGCAGGGAGCTGGGTCAGAAGCCGAAGAGCTGGGATTCAGCCAGGTTATCAGAGATAAGGAGGGCAGGTGTCTTAAGCCACCGTGCCAAATGTGTGCCTCCCCTCTGCTTTCTTAAAAGTTCAATTGTTCTTACTTACCACCCTCTGATGGCTATATAATTGAGTTATTTGCCCCTTAAGATTTTATGTATTTTTTTCACTTGGGAGCTTTAAAAAAAGTCTCAAAGTCCAAGCCCCTTCCCAGATGAATGAAATCACACTCTCTAAGCACGGGCATCTTCTTCCACTTTTTCCTCCTATCCAGGTGGTTACAGTGTGCAGCCAGATGAAGGCCTCTTCCTTGCTGGCTCCAGGCTTTAGACCATCCTAGTCTCCTAGGCTATCTGCTGCCTTCTCACCTAGTGTGGACCCCAGGGTCATTCACCAAGTTGTTGCCCAACTGCTACTCTCCAACCCTCAGGGAGTGGTTAAGTGTCTTTCTCTGGCTAGGGAAACACTCCCTCTCCGGTAATCTTCAAGATCATCCACATACCAGCTGGGGAAAGACACTGAACCACCCTGAAGTAGCCTTTCCAACTCCACAGGAGCCCCTGAAGCCAATCAGCAAGTGTCCAAGCAGACTTGTCTTATGTACCAGGTGCAAAAGTCTGTGGGAGATGGAATTTAAAGGTAGGCTTATTTTAAAACTTTTTTTTAAAAAAGATTGTTTATGTATTTTCAGCTACTCAAAAGGCAGAGATAAAGAGGGGAGAGAGAGAGAGAAAGATAGATCTTCTGTTCACTAGTTCATATCCTAAACGGCTGTAAATACTCAGGGTTGGGCAGGCCCAAAGCAAGCAGCCTGGAACACGCAGAGTTCTCCACCCGGGTGATGGGAGTCCAAGCACCTGTTGCCTCCCAGGAAATATTTGCAGGAAGCAGAATTGAAAGCCATGATGTCAGGATTTGAACCAGCCCTCAAGATGGGATGTGAGTGTTACACATAGTGGTTTAACTCACTACACCACAACGCCTACCTCTAAGCTTATTTTTATGCAAAAATAATTTGAAGTCTCTGCCTAAGAAGGGGTCCTTGAAAAGCTCACCAAGTGCCCAGTGTGGTAGCCTGGTGGCTGAGGTCCCTGCCTTGCATGTTTCCCATCCAGCTCCTTGTTTGTGGCCTGGAAAAGCAGTCGAGGATGATCGAAGGCCTTGGGTCCCTGCAGCAGCGTGGGAGACCCGGAACCTCCTGGCTCCTGGCTTCAGGTTGGTTCATCTCTGGCTATTATAGCCATTTGGGGAGTGAATCAGTGGATGGAACATCTTCCTTTCTGTTTCTCCTTCTCTTTGTAAATCTAGCTTTCCAATAAAAATAAACATTTAAGAAAAGGTTAATTATAAAAAAAAAGCTCACCAAAATGTCTATTATGAAAAAATTATGTATTGATTCATTTTTTGGCACTAAAATAAATATCTTATTTCCATTTTTTTTCAGGAATATCCTGAAGATCCCTCAAGTTGCCACAGTGACTGCTACCAACTATTTGCACTCTCATTGAATTCTAACTCATCCCATTACCCGGCCACTGCGCTGCGTCTCCACCTGAGACTGCATGTATGCACCATTGCATGAGCAAGGACTCAATGCTACTTTTCTCCATTTCTCAATTCTCCTTCATTTTTATAATTATCCAAAAAGAAAAAGTAACAGCAACAAAGCAAACCAAAGCCACGCTATTCCCTGTATCCTTCCAGCTGGGACTGTCTTGGTCTGTTTCCCCACATTGCTTCTACTACCTCTTGCATGCCCCCCACCGTCCCGCTATTTGCTTACTTACCAAAAGCACTTTGGATATTTTCATCAGTGGTACTCATGAGATCTTTCCAGATTTCATTAGAACTTTCCAGATGTCATCTTCTGGGACCTCTAAGAGGTGACACTTCTGCCTACTCTACTTCTTGAGATGCTCCGGCGTCTGGCCTCTGAAAAACAACACCGTCTTCTTAACTGCACCCCACCTCGCCCCCTGCCTCCTCCTGCCAAGTGCTTCCTAGACTGTGGGTACTCTAACAGCAAGGATTGTGTATGTTATGCTCCCACTGTGTTCCTACACCTGTCACTGGACTCGGTATCTGATTGATGAAAAGTTATGGGGTGAACAAATGAACAACTGTACACAATTGTTGCCTGGCTGTGGACAGTACACTACTGCACAGGGGAAAGTGAGTGTGTGATCAGAGCTGCAGGCAGCTGAAAGAGCTGGGATAGTAAAACCTGGTGGGAACCAGGGCTTTCTCCTTCTTTCTTCCTCCCTGGCAGCTAACCCAGGAGGGCACAAAATCGGATCCACTGGCTAACTCTGGCTCAGGGCTTTTAATTGCAAATGACCCATGAGCTAAGATTGTTGCTTTGAAAAACTCATTTTCATTTTATTTGAAAGATGGTGATGGAGTTGGAGATTGAGTTCATCTCTCGGTTTACTCCCCAAACCCCTGCAGAGTAGAGAATTCCAGCCAGGTGCCCCATGTGGGCAGTAAGGACACAAGCCCTTGAGCCATCAGCAGCAGCTTTTCAGGGACTGCATGGGCAGAAAGCAGAGTGGGGGAGCCAGGTCTAGAACCTGGTCACTTCTATGAATGATGTGAGTCCTCCAATGGTGTCTACGACACTGTGTCAAGTGCTTGTCCCCAGAATGAGTTTTAGATTTTTAAATGGTTGAAACAGAATGATGCTGTGAAATCAAATGTGAATTCCCAAGAAACGTTTTATTGACATGCGGTCCTAATGTTTATTGCCTATGACTGCCATGCAGAGACTAGATCGCATGGCCCACAAAACATAATACACTATCTAGCCCTTAACTAAAGCAAGTTTGCTGTCCCCTGGTCTACCTGTGCTTAGTTTACAAGTTGATTCCTACATGAATTATGCCCAAACACATTCATCTTTAAGTCTGTTTTCTAGTCTCAAGTCTGCTCCCAGAAATCAGGCTCCTGTGTTCCACCCTGGTCACCGTGTTCCCACCCTACTTTTCATTGTCATGGAAGCGAACCCTTGACAAAGCAGCTGCCACCTGCGGCTTCCCACTGTGTGCCTGGTAACACTCCCAGCTCAGCCTGCTCCTCTAGGTCCTCCGCAGCTGACGCACCACAGCTTCGCTTGGTACCTATCGCTCCTGCATGGTCCTCTGGGCCAGCTTTGTGCTTGCAGTCTCCCTGAGCCACCTGTGCGGTTCGTTTCTGCGGGACACATCTGCGCCTCTGGCATTTACAGCTTACTCATCCTTTAGGTTGGCGACCTCAAACGCCTCCGTGCCCTGACAGCCGCTGGCGGCTCTTCCTCTGACCTCAAACGCCTCCGTGCCGTGACAGCCACTGGCGACTCTTCCTCTGAGAATACCTTACTTTGTGTTGCGTGCCTTTTGATCTAACATGGTCTTCCAGTTTCGGCTTCTTCCCTTCTCTATGAAAATTCACTAGGTGCAGGAATTGTGTTCTGTGTTTCTAAGCTTCTAGTGAAAATCTCAGCCGGGGCTGTGAATTCTTGTCAAATCTGAGAACTGCCTGCACTCAAGCACAAACGCCACTGAACTCACTTTAGGCTCACCTTTATAGCACACGCCGCGTTCCAGGCGGTCTCACGCCCGAGGCTGGCAGTCCAGGCAAACACGTGGGTGACAAGCGCGTTCCTCCAGCCACGCCTCTGTCCACCGTGATTGGCGGACCCAACGCTCCAATCAGCCCTCCCCGCCTCTTTCAGCAGCAGCCAATCACAGGCCTCGAACGCCTCCTGACTACTAGACACTGTTTACTAACATCGAAGCTGGGGAATAAGGGGTGTGACCGTTCTGGGGAGGTCAGGGAAGAGAGAGCCCTGACTGCGCGTGCGCATCCCGGGAGGTGGGCGGGGCAGAACCTAGGTCCTGACCAATCCGAACGACCATGCTCCTCCTTCTCCTGCCTCCCCGCCAAGCAACAACAATTCGAGGAGCGGGGCGAGGCTGCTCCGGAAACGTCAGGATGGATTGCCCAATGGGCGACGGCGCTGGCAGACGCGCGCGCCCTGCGCCCTATGGGCGGCGGCGGGACGAATGGCTGCCCTACCTTGCTGGCTGAGGGCGGAGCGGCCCTGAGGAGGAGGCGGTGGAGCCGGTGGCCGCTTGGTTGCGCGGTACTAGCGGTGCCCGTCGGAGGGGGAGGAGGCGGAGGAGCGAGCCGTGCGGCCAGAGCGGGAAAAAGACTCGTCTTCGCGTCCGAGTTCGGAAGCCGCCGCGCCCCGGCTCCTGGGGCTGCCGCCGGGGGCTGCGAGGGGCCAGGCGTCCGCTGTGCCCCGCGTTTCCCCCTCGGAACGACCCGCGGGATCCGAGAGAAGGGAGAAGATGGAGGAGAAGGGCGGCAGCGGCGACGGCGCCGCGGGGACCAGCGGGGACGGCGGCGACGGGGGAGAGCAGCTCCTCACGGTGAAGCACGAGCTGCGGACCGGTGAGCGACCCCGCCCTCTGCCGGCCGGGCCCGGGTGCCCTGTGGGGGCCGGCGGCTGCCCGCCCGCGGCCGGGGGACACCTGGGTGGGCTGGGCCTGGCGGGCGCCACGGGGCAGCCACGGGGGTCTCGGGTGGCGAGGGGCGCGTCCTGGGTGGTGGGCGGGCGCAGAAAGTTTTCCAGATCCCAGGACCCGCGGGGTCGTGGCCCTTGCAGCAGTCGATCAGCGTCTCTAGCTCCCGTGTCCGAGGATGCCTCGTCCCCCTTGCCCCGCACAGGTGACACAGCTGTCACTGCATCCTGTCTGAGGCCAAAGGTGCGCCTTCCTGCGAGTGAGGTGCGTGGCGCTGCAGTTGGACGGCATGACTCACTTCTGCATCCCGCCGCTGCCCTGCGGTGGTCCTGGTGTGGGTGTGGGGTTGGGGACCATCCTCCCCCTAAGATGCTGTGGTCGCTCACCACTCCCCTAAGGCTGTTAGCGACTCTCGGTGCGAGAAAGGGGGCGGGGGAGGGGAGACTCACAGGCTTCGGGGACTGAGGGCTCTTCTTGGTAAATATCAGGAAATACTACACTTGGCCCTGGAGTTTCTTTCAGTCTCTGGAGAATTAAAAAGCCATAGGTAAATGGGACGGACAGAAGGGGGGTTCTAGGCTTTGCGCCTGTTCAGTAACCCTGCTGGCTGTCGCTCCTGGCGGAAAATGTGCGTTTGGACCCGTCCTTACGGTGTGGATTTATGGAGGAGCCCAGTCTCCCACGAGAGATAGCTTTCCATTTCTGAGCCACACGATGCATGGCTAGTGTTCTGCCGTGGGCTGAGGCTGTGGGTCCGGGCCGTTGTGGTAGTTTGGGATGCTCCTAGATCGTGCAGACCCCAAGCGCCAGGGGCTGGTTCCAGTTGGAACAGGTTGTGAAGTATGTGCTCTCAGCTCGTCCTATCTGTTTTTGTTATTTCTTTCTGGTGAGTTTGCCAAATAGCATTTCGTCAGGTGCTGCATGTGGTCACTTAATAGAAGAGAGATGTGAAATCCATGTTTCCTCAGATGGGCATTTTTAAACGTTGTTTTTATGGTCCTTGTGAGTCGATTCTGTCTTTAGCCTGTTCACTCTATTTTTGAGTTCCCACATAACCCGTGCGGGTACAGTTTTTTTTTCCTCCCTCAAAAGAGAGGGGATATTTTCTAGGGGACAGGAAATGTTACTCAGTATGCAGTTACACAGTATTAATATCTGACTTGTGTCAAGTGCTTTCTGGTATTGAGATTTTGATTTTTTTCCTTATCTTACATAATGATTCACTGTTTTATATATGTAGAATTGTACAGCAAAAGCTCTTAAGTCGAATGTTCCTTAGTCACTGACCGTGGTGCAGCAAGCTGTGTTTGTTAAATGACCAAGGAGCAAACTGCCTGCTTGCTGTTGGGAGTTGACCAAATGTGCTGTTTCTGGATTTTGCAAACAATGCTAGTTTTTGAGAAAACAATGAGTCCTGCTCAAGTCCCCCTTCTCTACTCACAGTGTGAATCATAGCTTCAAGTTTGCATGTTAGACTTTTCTTTCCTGATAGATGATGACATTATACTGAATTCATTAGCACTGTTAACTAACTGTCAAGGGAAACGAAGAGTCATCTTGGTTTGTTGTTGAACACTGGGATGACTGACCGGATATAGTTATTTCTAGAATATAGCTTGAAAGAGTCTTTAGCCAACTGTGCTCCTCTCAGCCCAGGATGCTATAATAGGCACTGAAGTCATTTGATCTGATGGTGTCCCTTCTTAAAGTGGGGACAAGCATATAGACAGTTGATAACTGCACATTTGCACAGAACCCGGTATCGTGTTCCAGAGGATGAAGCAGCAGCAACAGCACAAGTCCTGGGGAAGGACATGGAAAGGCTGCGGTTGGGTAGACCCAATGGCGTGTCCTACCTGGGCATGGAGTTGGAATCCCAACTCTGGCGTTTATTAGATATGTAGAATTGGGCAAGCTGCTTCCCCTCTTCAGACCCACTTTCATCTACCGCATGGGATAGTTGAATGAGACACTGGACATGTAGCTAATCAGCTATGTGGTAGGCACTCTGGGTATGTTGGCCGAGCACCTAAAAATCACTTCCTGGCAGTGTGTAAAAGTGTGAAAATTAATCTAGTGTGTTGGGAAGCAGCTCACTCCCAGGGTGCCTGGCTGTAAGCTTGCTTTGTGCACATCCTGCCTTCTCCAGTGCAGTGTAGACGTCTTGCTGTCCTTGGTGCTGCCCTGGCCTGTATGTGTCTCTCCCGGAGCCTTTGGCTTATGGGGCTATAGCAGTTGATGGACTTGCCTGTGCTAGACTGTGTGGTCCTTGAGGGCAGATGCCATGCCCAATGTGCGCCTGGCAGCCATAGTGTATGTAGGGACTCAAGGATTTGCCGAGTGAGTTCAAGTGGGTGAGAATCCAGGAGCGAGTCCAGTACTCCCCAGGCCTTGAAGGTCTTAGGGTGACAGACTGAGGTTGGTGGGACTGATGATCCCAAAAGCTATTAAGAAAATGCCCTGTCCCTTGGCAATAGAGAGTGAAGCCAAATGAAGTGGTACTTTGGATTTATTGTGATAGGCATAATAATACACCAAGTATAAAGCTAGTGAAGGTGGTAGTAGGACTTTAACTTTCAGATCATCAAATCTAACTCTCTTAAACAGCAATAAAAGAGGGGTCTTATTGGAATGGTAGTGAGTTGCCTACCCATATTCAGTAAGTATTTTGTTACCTCTTAGGAATGGAGTGCTGTTTTAGATGCCAGGAGAAAAGACTAAAGCCATCTCTCTGTGGGAAGGGCATGATTGCTACAGAACCACTGGGACCAGACTGCACTTTCTATTCTCTCCATCTTGTAGCCGTGCTTGTCTCAGTGGGTTGATTTCTTCCTTCTCCTCTGCTGTCTAGACACACCCCAGGTGTTACATCATTCATCTTTGGATACTGCAGAGAACCCATGTCCTCCTCCATCTTTGCTACAAAATTCTCAGGGAAGAGCTCCTGTGGCCTGGCTCTGGTCAGGTTTCTCCTCTGGCCAGTAGCCACTACAGTAAAGGCAAAGGTGGGGCTCGGTCCTTAGAAGCGAAAGGTTGCTGGAAGATAGCTCCCTAGCTTGTGTCATTAAATGGTTAGAGCCTCACCCAGGAGAGGATTGAACAAGGTTAGCTGTGGTAGTCGCAGTGGCTTCAAGTGGTCTGGTTTCCCTGGGGCACCAATTCGGGAACCACTGGGCTGGATTATTTGAAGTTGTAGTCAGGACATCAGCCAGAACTGTGTTCTCTTCATCTCTTGTCCAATGCTGGTGGATCCCCTCCCAGGACGTGTCCCCTGTGGCTTCTCAGCCCAGGGACTGCTCCACAGGGCTGCTGGAGAGCCTGGCTCGGGGTGGTTGCTTCCCTCCATGGTCACAGTCTTTTGTGGTAAGTAGCTTTATGGAGACAGAATCGGTAGTACACAGCTCACATGCTCTGAGTGTGCAGTGTGGCAGCTTTTAGGAGATGGATGGAGCTGTTGGCACACTCTAGTTTTATTTATACAATTTTAAATATAATGTCTTTTTCTAAAGTTTACGAGAGAAATGGGGAGAGAGGGAGAAATTTCATCCACTGGTTGATTTCTCAAAGATCCACAATGACCAGGGCTAGGCATGGCCAGAGCTGTGGGGCAGGGACTGTGCGTGTATACCTACCTGTCTTCTAGGTGGGTGACGGATGTCACTTTATCTGGGCTGTTCTCACTGTCTCCTGGGACCTGTGTTATCTGGAAGCTGGAGTCAGGAGCAGGGGCCAGGAGTCACATCCAAGTGCTCTGGTGTGGCCGAGCAGTGGTCCCTACAATCTAATTTTCAAGCATTTTTGTCACCCTGAGAAAAAGCCCCATGTCCATTTCTATCATTTTATTCCCATCACTCATCCTCAGCAACCATCAGTTTATTTTCTATCTCTGTGTATTTGTCTGCTGTACCAGTTGCATTTAATGGAGTTACACAATTGTAGTCTTTTGTGACTGACTGCTTTCACTGAACAGCATGTCCAACTCTTAATTTTCTTTAGTGGACAAATTGTATTGGTTGTGCTGTATTTTGATTATCCATTCACCAGTTGATTGCCATTTGGGTTGTTTCCACATTTTGGCTGTCTGACCAGTGCTACTGAGCGCTTTGTGGACATGGTTCTGTGTGGACCTGTGTCTGCCTATCTCTTTCTTTCTTTAAAAATTTATTTGTTTGTTTATTCATTTGGAAGGCAGATTTACAGAAAGAAGGAGACAGAGAAAGATTTTCCATCCCCTGGTTCACTTCTCAGGTGCCCACAACAGCTGGGGCTGAGTTAGGAGTCAGGAGCCAGGAGCTTCTTCAAGATCTCCACATGGCCATCCCTCTGCTGCTTTCCCAGGCCATAAGCAGGGAGCTGGGTCAGACATGGAGCAGTCGGGACATGACCAGCGCCGTATGGATTGTGGGCACTGTAGGCAGAGCGTGAACATGTAATAGCACCGCACCAGCCGGACCTGTGTTTTCATTGTCTCTCAGGTTTATACCAGCAATAAACCTGGGACACATGGTGTGCTCATGTTTAACTCTGTAACAAACTGCCTAAGTGTTTTTCAAAGTGGCTGTATCTTTTCCTGCCAACAATGTCTAAAAAATTAATTTTGTTTTCCTCTTTTTTTGCATTTAAAAACATTTTTGATGTTTATTACGAAGGTGAGCAGATTACAGCCCCATCTGGGCCTCTGATTCTTATTGGAATAGGGTTGTGTGGTGGGTGAAATATAAGTTTCAATTTTCCCTGCTGTGGGGATGGGGCAGGGTGAGGGAGTACTGTATCAGTGGAGGGCTTTACTTCCTAAACAGCCTAGCCAGCACTTACTGCTTTTTATATGTAGATGTCCTGGAGCTGTGAAGTGGTGTTTCGTTGTAGTTTTTATTTGGTTTTTAACTAATGACCTTAAGTATCCTTTGGTTCTAACATGGGTCATTCTTT